AAAGAGGAAGAGGCTCTGATCTTACCATCTAGCAGCAATAAGAAAGTCAAATAAAAGAATCAATTGTTTTGCTTCTGCACAAGATATCATCTCTTCACATCTATTTCTCTATGCCCCTATTTTGTCACCTAGAGGGCAAATAAGTAAAGGGGATGACATCATTACCCCTGCTTATCAGAATCAGGAATTTTTCTGCAACATATGTAACCTCCATTCAAAAAAACAACAAACCAACTTCAATCATATGCTTGGTTACATTGTTTGAGTGCCCCAGAAAAGAAGTTCAGATAGGAAATAAAGAAATAGGTCTCATTTAATTGCCACTAGTTTCAAGTCCTTCCTACAGGAACTCAAATCCTTGTGAAAACTGACTCTTGTATTCAGCCTCCCCTCTTGCCCAGCTTTACAGTGTGCCACCAGACGAAAGCTGCCACAGAAACTCAAGATCAGCAGACAGAGCCTCCATGGCAGCAGTGGTCAATGCTACACACAGAGGTGCCTTCCAAGACACATGCCACAAAGCCTTTGAACAGGAACCAGTGTAGAAAGCAAAGACATGAATTGTTACATTCACAGCAACGGGACTAAAAAGACAAGCTGCAGAACTTCACCCCACCTGTAAACATGAAGAGCAGGGCATTTCAGTATCACAGTAAATGTTTGCTGGGGTTGCTCTGTAAACTGCATAGCTCTCATTCCATCTTTTGCCACAGACTGAGGCAAGTGTTTGCCCTGGCAAGTCAGTTCAAGCACAAATACTTAGGGACTCCAAACATGAAAAAGAAAAAACTTTGTCACAACAACTATTATAAATCTAACAAACCATCAGCATCTTCCATGTTGCCTGGATTCAGGAACCTGCTCCTCACTCCAACACAATCTTCATCCACACCAGCCTCATGTGATTCACTAGCAGTACCCAGAAGCAGGGCAGTTAACACCGCCTACAAGGTGAACTAGATATATCTCTTCACTATCAGCAGTCTCCAGAACATACATAGACAGGGAGAAGTTCCAAAATAAAAAGGACACTATTACATTTTTAATGGTTTATTAACACTTCAACTTTTAATATCTTTGAAGAAGGCCTGAAAGATAAGTTTTGCTTATTGACTTTGTCTTTTCCCCTTTGGCAAAATGTCACCTTCCACCTCCTCCCTCCACCCTCTCTCCTCCCAAGAGGATTTATGAAGTTTCAAGCTAGTGTTTGGTTGCTTCTTACATGTAAATTGGCTTCAATCATAGCAGCAGAAACATGCAAGCCTGGGCAACAGTGTTCATCAACAGCTTTTAGAGAATGAGTAGAAGTGCACAAATAACTTGTGCATTGATACAAGCAACTTTTTCCTAAATGATCTTCACATATATATATTTTCTTTTAAGTGGTTTTAATTTGGTGCCCAGAATTACTACAGAAGCTGTATCTTCCATTTAACTAGGCTTCCCCCCCAATCAACATACTACTCTTTTAAAGTGCTATATTCATAAAATCTTTAAAATACTACTTTGATACTGTATACTTGCTCCTTCATGCCCTTTTGAGAAATCAGAAGGGCAACCTGCAATGCATATATAACTGAAGTTACACATTTAGCCTCACATGACTTTAAGGGCACTGTTGTCTGATCATATCCCTAGCAGCAGTGGAGAGACTGTGTTTCCTTGTGCTTACATACACAAGTAAGCAGGCAGACAAAGCAAGAAGTTCTAACCATTTCAGGAACAAAGACAAACAATTTAATCCATATTACATAATTCACTGAATACAGCTGATCTCATCCAAAGAGACTCCTGAGAGCAAAATATTTTTAGCATTACATTTTATATACAGCTATGAAGGGATTACTGGAAACCAAGGAAGTCCCCTTATACCATTAGTACGTACACTGGTTACGAGATGGCTGTACACTTTCACTTTGAAGACATTACTTAAACCATGACCAAGTTTTACCACCACCTGTTTGTTATTTATGAAGTTATTTCAATCTGATTTTATTGTTATTTTTACCTTATTTCTGCTGCCAGACATCAAAACCTGAGTCAGCTGCATTGAGCAATGACTCCTTCTCTGGTCTCTAGTCCTGAAAGTGCTAGCTACCCTTGAAAAACTCAGTACACTCCATAAAGATGTTAAGATCTTCCAGAGGTTGGTTTCTTTTTCACTTCAATGCAGGAATCACTGCTCTGTCTAAAGCAAACTACATCCTGCACACTATTGCTTTCATTATTTTCCATGCAATCAGTTTGGAACAGGCTATGAAAGTTTGATGCAGCAATGTTCTGTTGGAGAAAAAAAAGAAAAAAAATTGGGGAGAATTACACCATTCTGAACCAGTGGACCCAAAATAATCAAGACCTTAACAGTTTCTCCAGTCACTGGAATGGAAGGAGACTTGAATGCAGACACTGGAACAAGTAATTGGAAACATCTGTGCTTGCATGCTTAAGTGAAAAGATAAGCAGTATTTGCATTTTCTTCATCATCTTCCTTGAACAAATGCAAGATTTTATAAAAAAGTTTATCACAGAGAGCAATGACAAAACATGATGTAATTACAATTTTCTTTTAAAAAAAAAGACTAGAAATCAAAGGCAACCAAGATAACGTACATCTTCTCCAGAACATTTTTCTCAGCTATGTAAGGTATGCATATACCAGGGTCTAACACACTTAGCTGCACCACATCAAGTCAAGCTGTCCAAAAGCATACATGATTTTGCTTACAGGAGCATATCCCTTCTGCAATTTTTCAGTTTACAAGTAATTCCCTGTACTGGATTATGCTCAGTCAGAAGTACAGATAATATTTTGTTCCAATACTACTGTTTGTTTTTATGACATATTTGGAAATGAGGCAAGACATAAGATTAAGTGCAGGGAAGCATTTCAGACCCCCAAAATATGCTCTTTAAAACTTTGCTATACATGGTTAACACAGGTAGATCTACCAAGAGTTGCATCAAAATTTTCATTTTCAAAAGGTGAGCAACTGAGGTTTACTCAGAAAATATCAACTCTTCTGCATCATGGAATTCACTGTGGGTGTCTGAATTGTTCAAATTGCATTTTTTTTTAGTATCTGCTAAAACAGAACTACAAACAGAATGTGAATTAAATACTCCTATGAAATCCAAGCATAATGTTGACTCCTGGAAGACACCAAGAAGATACAATGACGGAACAGAAGGTTGATTATTACACTCCTGCACAATCCAAGCAAACTGCTAATATATTGAAAACATTCATGTCTGGTATATGTACCTGCTGGATATCGAAATTATTCTGTTCCAATACAAGTTTGATAACCATCTTCTCTGTAGCTGAAAGCAGCCAGAAAACAGTTTGTTTTTTAAAACAAATTAAATGGAAACCTTTTTTTTTCTTCCCAAGCTTCAATTACAACAGTCTAAGCCAGAGACTTCAGCAAATAAACTTCAAAATAGCCATTTGATACAAGTAGCAAATTACCATGAACAATGAACTTGTTAGGAATCCCTTCTAAAAGTACGACACACACAAACAGGCTACCCAGCAGAAAAATCTGTTAACAATTTTATTTCTTTTGTAATGTTAAATATTATGGGACAGGATTGTAAGGATGAAGAACTCTCAACAATGCCTCACAAGGGATAAGAAAGAAATTCTGCCATGATATTAGCAAAGTAAGGTAAGGAGAAAATTTACACATTAAGAGGCACCATTTCCCCCAGAATACCTCTTGTCATATTCCTGAATGAGTGGGATTAGCAATCTAATAAATCATTTTTCAAGAGGTAACAGCAACAGATAAAATTTTAAAGGATTATTAAAATAACATTTACAAGACTCTGAACAATTTTTTGAATTCTTATTAAAACCACAGAAAGAAAGAACAATTCTTTATTTATGAATTTTTTTCATAAAGGACTGACTGTGCAACTGACACCTGCTATTGATGACTTAATGTACAATTTTGTCCAGTAGCCGAACAGTTTGTCTTTTCAGATTGTGTTTTCTAACCGTGCGAGATCATTAAAGGCAAAGCCTGTTATGATGCTGTACACAAAAATGGCCGCTTGGGCCATACTACCAATGAAGTGGTAGGTAAACAAATCTTTTTCTGGCCAAGAAAAAAAAAAAAAAAGAAAAAAGGAAGCTGCATTTTGCATGCTTCTCTCACTCATTCTTTCTACAAGATGAACTTCCCTAGAAAGAATCCAATGAAAATGGCTGCAATTACAACAAGAAGTGAAGGAAGAGAATTAGAGCCATTATCTCTGAGGGCCAAAGCTGTGGGTGATCCAGATTTATCCGAGTGCGCTACCTTTCTGAGCCTCAAGCCTTCATCCTGAGGAGGAAAAAAAACAGATGGGAAAAAAAAAATCTATGAACACATGTTCTTAACAATTGTAAAAACTGAACTCAAAGGCCAAATTTACTGTTGAAAATTTTTTAAAAATTTAAAAAAATAATATGACTTTACATCACACCAAAATCCAAAATATGAATGCAGCAAACCATATTTCAAATAAGGACAGATAATCCACTCATTTCTCTCCATGCTCTGGTTAAGAAATATTCTGAAATAAATCTGATATTCTTGCTAGGCACAACGAAGAATACTGCTTTTACTCACTACACATCAAAATAAATAGCAGTAACTCCTTATTCTTAAAGAAAAACATCTGCTTTGTGTAGTGTTTCTCCAAATGTTCCAATATCATCAGAATTACAGGTATGGAGACTTCATTATTTCACAGTTCTTTAAAAGGCTACCATGACCAATGAAACTGTCAGATACCCAAAAGCAAATATATAGAAAAATCACATATTGAGCAGTTATGGGTTACTGAAATGACACCTTTACATAGTGGTACTGGAAAGTAGTGTTTGCTTACCTCCTCTTGCCAAACAATTGTCCGCTAACAATCGGTGATATAGAATGTTTCCACTTTGGATCTCATTTACTTATTCTTGAAGAATAATAATGGACTTTTATTAAAAGCCAGTAATTCAGTGTTTCCAATTGAAAGTAACTAAGATCCCCTTAATATGACCATTTCATTTAAGAAGAAAATTATGCAGCTTCAGTATCTCATCCATGGCAATCACAAAGTCTCAATCAATGAGAAGTTCAAAACAAAGTATATACAGAACAATAAAATCATATTACAGATCAATCTTAAGATTCAAACACTTGTATCTACTTTCTCACATACACATCTATCGGCCTAATTACAAACCAGGTATTTTAATCAAGAAGAATGAAGCCATTTCAATACGAATATGAAAGCAGAACTTACTCTCAGGTGCCGATTTTCATCCGTCAGCTTCATAATCTCTGCCTGAAGTCTTTTGCACTCCTCCACTAGCTTCCTTGTTTCAGTATCATTAAGTGAAACACTATGTGGTTTTGGCATCGGTCCATCCTGCTTAGATGTATTCAGTACTGGGGCGGATTTGCTTGCATCTATATCATTCTACAAATATTAAGAATTACTTGAGAATTTTACTTACCTACAGAAAAATCATCCACAGCTTAAAACTGAAACAATTCAACTACTAATATAGTTCAATTAACTTTATATTTACAGTAATCTGAAGAAAGACTTCTGTCCTTAGTTCTATTCTTATTAACTCAAAAACAAGGTAAGACTGCACTGTTTACATTTGGTACTACATGCTACTGAGACAAAAATTAATACTTCAGCTGTTTAACATTGACCCAGCAGGCATCCAAAAGATGGCATAAAATATACCAAACAGCATTTGAACTTGAGAGGAAAAAATAAAAGGAAGAAGTAATACTGCAATAGTAAGAAACAAAACAAAGCAAAAAGAAAACAGGTTGTGTCACAAACCAATACGAAGTGTGTATGGCACAAATATTTTGCACTCACAGCACCTCTTACTGAAGGAAAATAAAGTATTGCACAAACGTGGAATTTAAGTCTCACAGTATCTCTGAAATACATATTACTAATTTTGAATACAAGTGAAGTCACATAAAAAGCTGTGAAAAAGCCAAAAATTCAAACTAAAAATCTAGTTCCAACAGCTCTGCTCAAAATAGGCAATGATCTTCAATAGACATTAATACTACAATGGATTCAACTGTATAGCCCCAGTTACCCTTTGTAAAACACAACATTCACATGGCAACACATTCAGAAACAGCTCATATTCAGATTCAGGCTTCTGTATTCCTACTTGCTGGCTACACAGCTATGGCTTTTAGACCACCATCATACTGCACCTTTCACAACCAAACTAGTCCAAGTTAAATAGTAAATGTAACAGAAAACCCTATTAAAAGGTAAACATATCTATGTAATAAGAAACCAACTAAAAAAACAATGCAAGAACTTCTTTAGTTCCTATGTAACAAGTAACAGTTACTTGGTCTACAGCATCTACTTGCATTTTACATTTTTTGCAATGCAGCCATAGATAGCTTAAAAGCCAGATCCTGCTACTCTGCACAGGTACTTCTAACTGGATTATAAAAGACCAACATATTTATATCATACATAAGCAGATCGGGATCTGTTAGTTTTTTAATTGGTTTGCTAGGTGAACTGAATCCCTTTAATAGCACTGAAACTTCACAGGAGACCTAAGACTTATGTCTGTGGAAACAAACTTCCTTTTGCTGCTTGACCTCACTGACTAGTTTCTTCATGTCAATCTTCTGCCTATGACTGGGAGGCATTTGGAGAAAGTTGTTGCTGACTAGAATGAAATACCCGTGTCCTGGTGTAGGTATATGCTGAGGTGGCAGCTAAGGCTTACCCTCAGGACTTGGCAGATTTCTCATTGCCAGATTTAAGGGACTGACTCAATCAATTGCTAAGGTTTGCAACCTTATACTACTACTCAGAAAAACACAAATATGATGTACAGTTAATACTATGAAGATAGCACATTAAAGAAAGTGCAAAAGGAGGTACTTCTGTATAATCCACTACATTTCTCTCACTCCATCATACATTTTATAGAACTAAAAACAAGTATAATTTTTCTAAGGTTTTGATAAGGTTTTAATACCTTATTTAATAAGAAGATTAAAAAAAACCACAGAAAGTAGACAACTAAGTGCCTAGACAATAAATGCTTAACCTTTACAGTTTTAGCATTTGACACACTTAGGCAGCTTACACATTAATAACGGGCTGCATCTCATAAATTATCCTTTAGATAGAAAAAAAAAACATGACCAAAAACAACATACTGACATTGCATCTTACAAAGTCTTTTTATATTACACTCCAAGAACTATATTAAAAGTATGGTTGGAAAGACAGCTACTAGCCAACTAGCAGCCTTCACTGAGACCCTTTATGCAGGTAAATAACCAGATGGTTTTTACATGCATGGATTCATACTACTTTCCCCTAGCACGCCTTACAGACTACTATAAAAACTGGACAGTACTAAAAAGAAAAGTCAAGGCCATAAAGTGAAGAAGGGTATTTACAGAAATCCTATGTTAGTACTAATTCACAATGCTAGAAGCACCACCAAAAACCAAAATCAAACTCCCCCCTCAAAAAACAGGCAACCCACAATATGCCGTACTAAAATTCTATAAATCGGAATTTCAAGTACGAGGGTAAAAAAACAGTTGATGTGTAAGAATTTAGTCATATTCTGCAGAACTTCTAGATAACTGACAGTTAACTATTATTCCACATATCGGGCAACACAAAACATACATCTTCAGTCTATATACAATGAAACTGTCATCTCCTACACAATTGGAACAGATTTTGTCTGAAGGCAAGAGCATGAAAGAGGTAATTTATTTTTTTGTCTGACTATCTTTACCACTACTTTAAAAAAAATTTAGCATTCCCAAAGCATGCAGAACTTCCTTCTAATTTTCTAATCAGTACTTCCTTTTCTAATTCAGCTAAATTGGAAACAGAATTTTTTAAATTGAAAAAGCATTTAATACTTAAAAAAGCAGATGATACAATTCGCTTTTCACTGCATGCAATACTGAAGAGTCATCTTCTTAAAAATCTGACAGCATTTAAATGCTAAATCAAATCAATAATAAAAATAGTAAAAATATAGTAAGCACTAGTCTCCATTGCTGAGGTTTCTCATGTGCAGTTGGACAGGGTGCTCCCTTTCTGATGAAAGGTTTGACCAGATGGTATTTCAAGGTCCTAGACACCCCATCTGTCTATTTTAGTACAAATTGCTGCAATCCATTTAATCAACAAATCAAAGACGTTTTAAAAAATTTCAAAACAAAAGTTCCATGAGATCCTACCACTGTATGACAGTTTCTTACTCTGTTCTTACTTACCAGTTTATCATTTTCATTGGGCATTTCAAAGACACATCTCAATTTGGAGTCCATTAACTCATCAGGTTTTGCTTCTTTCCACTAAGACAAGAATTAATATAGTTACTAACATGCCAGACTCATTAAAACATCTTAACAGTTCATAAGCTTGCTCTTAGTACTTGCCTCCTATATAGCTGAATACTGTCCTTACCCTAGTTACAATTTTCAGATTTGCTTCTGAACAATTTTTGTCGTTGTTCTTTACTTTGACTACTGAGAAGTAACGAAAGCTTGAAATAGTTATTAAACCTGAAAGTGGAAGTTAGTAAACTGAATGCAAGGATAGATCCAGAGACTTTAGAGGATAGGGAGGAGACAATTCAGCAGTTCCTTTAACCCACAATGAGGAACAAATACCATCTGAGTCCCTTTAAGAACAAAATTCTAGCCTTATCACTTCTTGGTAAATGTACTCCTTATGTCCCATCTTGGAAGCAACAGTTTTAAACAAAAGGCTGAAAGACACGTTTTAGTGGCTCTGTATGTAGTTCCAGAGTAAATTTATCTAGTTCTTCATATTTTAGATTTTTAACCACTTCCTCCTTTTACTGCATAATATATTACAATTTGGGCCTGTAGAACTTTTCAAAGCTATATATAAAATAGAGATTTTACTTCTAGCAGTTATCAATATATTTAAATAATTGTGAAATATGCTGGAATCTCTCTGCTCAACTGACAACTTTCAAAGCATACACTTCATGTAGTTGCCTCAAACCTTTCGGCTCAGAGACTGATCTGAAGTCCTCAATTTTTCCAACAATAGCTCCACTGAAGTTACCTTGGAATTGCAGGTTTTACAGACTAGAATATCCCGGCTTTTCATAGCATCCTTCTTTTTTTTGTTGTTCTTTTTATAGCATCCCTTTTGTTGTTGTTCTTGTTTTCAGTGGCATTAGTTGTACAGTAATGTGTAAGTACAATTACTGATTTTCTGCAAGATGTATTTTTCTGTATTCTATACTTGAACACACTAAGAAAGCAGTTATTTAAAAGGTATTTCTAAAATGGATTTATATATCCTCAAAGTTACACTTCACTTACCACACATAACCAAGGGCTATCAGAGCACATTAAGAAAAAGTAAACCAGACCAACAAGGAAGAGAGATGTTAACTGTCTAGCTACATCAAAAGCTTAAAATCTAAAAGGTTTTCCATTGTTTCCAGCAAAGAGTAATACCACAGCAGTCTTTGCATTCATATAAGGGGACAGCCTGAACATGCAGAGGTCTAGTGTATTTCAGTGATTTATAAAACCGCACCTTTATCCTTTGTTTTCCCTCTCCTCTGTCTTGAGTCAACATTGCAAATACTTGTGTGAACTCAAGCATTCCTTACAAGTGTCCAGACACAAGCTTGTGCATCATTCCCCTCCACCTTAATATACATGCTTATCGGAGTCCACATACACCCTAAAGGGCATGTTCTGCCAGCTTGTAATGTCAGAAATGGGTGTCCTTACTTCTGAACTAACAAGCACAAACCTAAATATCTTCTTTCTGGATCTTTCATCAGAACAATCATGCCTAAGAACTGATTCTACAACATCTTCTATTAAAACACAAAATAAATCTATCATGTGTGCTGTATTTAACTAGGTATCTTGAAGCAAGACATATCTTAGTCATCCAAATGTTTTAATTCATTATAATCCTGCTCAACATTTCACTTAAACACTTTTCAGATCAAATGCACCTATTTAATATAGCTTCAGGCTTGTTGTTCAAATATACTCCTGATTCCTTCAAATACAATACATTTATCCCCTTCAGATTAGCTGTACATAAGGTACAACATACCCGTATTTTAAACACCGAACTGACCTGACTTTAAAATCACTACTATTTCCATTGAAGCAGTTCACTAGGCGAGTTCTAAGAACTGAGCTTGTACTTAACATTAAAAACCCTGAATCATATACAGAAATCATACTTGCTCAGAGAAAACCTAATTCTCCAAAAATAAACTGCCAAAACATGATTCATTTACACTTAAGCCTGAATTTTTAAGAATATACAACAGTCATTTTACCCCATATTTACTTACCACTGCCTCCATATCTGAAATATTTGGTGGTGCATAGGTTGTTTGTACCATAAACTTGTGTTTACTCTTCTCATTTGGATCATAGTCAAAAGGCTGCAGCATTACTGTTCAAAAGGAAAAACAAAACACAAAACTGTGATTCTTCAGCTAACTGCTGCAACAAGCAAGTTATCCATTTCAGATTTGCTTCTCACTGAAAGTTAAAATGTAAGGGCAGTGTTGGAAACAGAGCAGATATACACTGTAGCAACAGGTACTGAGAGGATAGATAACGTTTTTAAATCTGGCAGACCTGACATGATTATTTCTTTAATTACTGCAGCTAAAAGACATTTCATATACTAGTATGAACAAACAGATCCTGTAAGACAGACAAAAAGAAAAAACCCAACCAAACACAACAGGACTTTTCTTTGGAATAAACACATTTTATGATTAGGTGAATGCAAAGTTAAAGAATTATAGCACACATCATGATAGTTACTCGGGCTGGGGGAGGAAGAAAAGAGAGAAACTACCAGAAGACTGCCAAGCAGTGGAAGTTCAACTGACTTCTGAAGGTATATCAATCTAAAGTGGGAGTAAAACTGCTAAAATATTTCATTCCAACTACAATTATTATGAGAGGTAAAGCTATCTGAGGCTTTAATAATACATCTTTAATTCTTTCACACTGAGTTCTTAAAAATATTTACAGTGGTTAGTTAAGTAATAACTACACAACACATTTTACTCAGGTTTCAACAATCTTAATTGTAGCCCAGTGTAACTCGTCCAAAAGTACTCCAAAATCCAGGCAGAAATTTTAATTCTATGGCAAGTTTTGGGCCTCCACCACACTTCATCAATGAAGAAGGAAGGATGGGATTCAAAATAAAATTTGCTGTAAAGGCCGCTTTAAGTGCAGCATTAAAACAAAACTAATAATACCCACTCCTTGCATTTTATCGCTTGCATTTTCAGCTTTCAATATACTGTAAAGCAGATTTGGAAAAAAAAAACCAAACAAAATCAAAACACCTTCTGGATTAAACCAGACGTTTTTAACACAACATAATTTGTGCTGCAATTACCAGACTTTCTGAATGACAGCTTTTTTACTGTACTTTCTATTTTCCAAAGCTGAAAGCTCTGTTGGTCAAGAATAGGAACTCATGTTTCTGGAGTTATTGCCTTGAAGCGTGCACAAGCTCAGTGAAAAAAACTACATCACCGACAGAGTTTATAGCCTCCATTATTTCTACAGCACTAAAATACTTTTAAATGAAAGCCTGAATTACAGAAGCACAGTACCTTCATCAATCCAAGTTGTACAAGGCCATCCAGGAGCAGACTGCAGGTGTATGTTTTCATACCAAAGTGGTTGTCCAGGTCACCCTGGCATCACTATTTTGTGTGTGGTTTCTTTAGTTCAAAGGAAATTAAATAGCATGATGTTTATAATATAAACCAGGAGATTAGAACTTTCACAGGATAGCTGCATATCCAAGGGCATAATATAGGGGTTTCAGAATACCTGACTATAAAAGGTTTGCTATGGTAGCGCTGGGGGATTACTGAAGCAGAGGGATGGATACACAACCAGCTCAGTCTACCTTCAACTACACTGTCTGGAGCAGATCCTGAAACAAATTACCATCTTAGCACCTTTGTCTCCTTTCAGAGACAATTAGTTGCTTATGACAGATGGGAATACAGGACCACACAGATTATATATTTAAATGTGTGTATGTCAATACACTTGCAACTTGGTCTACCAGATGAGGACTGAGAGGGAACTATAAATAATCACAGAATATTAGCAGTTGAAATGGACCTCGAAAGATCATCCAGTTCAACCCCC